GTTCTCTTATAAACAATGTAAAGATACTGAATACATTTGATTCCGTTTTAGTGTAGATATATATATGTTTGAACACACTAAATTTAATCAATACTTACCTTCCCATGAAAGTCAATTGAACCTAAATCGCACCACGTTTATATATATATATATATATGTAATCTCAGTTTTCATTTCATTTAGAGATTTTTTTAACTTAACCTGTTTCTCAAATGAGAGATATTCCATTAATACAGTAATTCATCATATTATATACTCAACTGAAATTGTTGTTCTAATTTAAAATTATTAAAAACAGATAGGTGGATCATAAATCCAATTTCTATTGAATGAAGTCTCTGTTAAATGATTACAAAAAAAGATTGATATACATGTCAGTGATAAATATCAGAATAAGCAAAGGAAAAATTTTATAAATCAACACCACAATATAGTGTCGTACTTAAAGTAATCATATTTCTCAACAAACAACCACAAGTTAGGGACATCAGTAAGTAGGTAGTAGGCCAAGTTAGGGAACTATGAAAATAAGTAGCTGTATATAAGAATATGATACATCACTTCAAATGGATATACTGCATGGTAGTGTATTTCAATTGGATGTGTGACATACATTATACATGATTATTCCTTTGTCCAGTTTTCCTTTCCTCATTTAATTCTTCTCATGATTTGGTTTCAGATGTACAGTTTTAATCAATGACAAAAGTTCCATTGAGTTCAATACATTAGGTTGTTAAGCTTTTGGTTATTATGTGAGGCTATTGTTCATAGACTAGGAAATTTAATTATAACTTTATTTTCATGATTTCGTGTATTAAAAACACGTCGTTATGAATAAGCTTTATTTCCCAGTTTTTTAAAATCTTAAAACACTAGCATAAACAGAATAGAATCTGACTTAAATCTGTTCGAATTCAGTTCAAGATGAACTATTTCATGCCAGAATGATGCGAGAAAATTAACAAGTGTAAAATTAAGGGAGTGAAAATAACAAAATTAAAGTAGTAAAAAGAAAATATAATTTTAAAACTTTATGTAGTGAGATTATAGTTACGATTTAATGTATAACAAAAAATGTGTACATCTATTTGAAAACTGTGATGACTTAATTTAAATTCCGTAGTTATCCATTATGATTAATTATGGAGATCAACCAGAATGTATCCATTCACTCATAACGTTTAAATTAGTAATTAATAAACTAATGGAGTGTTTCTTGTCTAAAAACTCCATAGAGTCAAATCATTGAGAAACTAGCATTTAATTTACATATTCAGAATTTGATTCACATTATAATCATTTATGATAGAGATGATTGACAAGTAATTAAAAATCTTGAATGCAGTATCCTTTAATATTTTTATACAGCTGTTTAATTTTTATCATTTTTTTGCTTTAAATGAGACCATATAGAATTTATAGATTTCGATATCCCTTCGTTTTATTTACTAACTCAATGATCAACACCGAAATCGAATGATAATTTACGTTTCAGGTAGAGAAACCGACTGACATATTGAAATTACTGGGAGTAAACATCGTTCTGGACAGTTGAGTCAGTAATTCTTAGTGGGATTGAATTTAGCTTGTGTTTTTAGAGGTGGATAATGAGCAGATATTTACATTAACTTAAATCATTATTCTGATGCATTCTTCAGTGATCGACAAATTATTTAGTAAGTATGCTTCATTTAGAACTTCTGAATATCTCCTGTTCATTTAGTGTGCGACCACTGCATATTAGAGAGTAATTTTCATTGATTTCATTTTAATTCCTATCATAAATTATATTGAATTAACATAAACATTATGCTTTTCATTCAGTATGTTGGGCTTAGCAACAATGACAGACAACACAGTTACAGACAACTCTGGGCTTTTGAAAGCCCTAGTGATAATTATTCTTCGGTATGTAACATTCGCCCTCAAAATATAAATATCCGATACAGCATAATTAATGGACATCAAAAATGTTATCAATAACCAGTCAATCGTGGATGCGCACTGCTGAGGAGTCCCATACTAGGAAGAAACAGCCGTCCAGTGCTTCCAGGTTTTCCATGGTGATCTAGCTTCAATCGACTCATGATTTCAACCTACGAAATTTCTAAAAATGTCCACAAAACCCATTCTAAAATACATAAATAGTTTAATTCAAGTTGCATTAAAAATAATAAAAGTAGTTAAATCTTTATTTATTGAGTATAAAAGATTTACTAAATATGTACTCTTAACAATTTTAAAATTTCTGTCATGTTTAGTTGCCTGTTAAAGAATTAAACACGTAACACACTGTCACACATAATAAAATCTACATTTTTGACGTGTACACTGTTCATTTGATATCTTCACTGAAATTAAGTAAAATATGAAATATTATATAAGTTGATTATTTTCACTAAAGGTTGTCTACTCACTTATAGAGTTATTTACAATAATTATCCTTTATGTCCTCTCCTCCTCTCTATACTAATGAATATTTCGCTCTTCATTACATAAATGGACTTCAATACTTTCTAGAAAAACCATCGTGTCAATGAAGTAAGTACATTTCATAAGTAAATTTAATATCTTAATTTATACATGTATTCTAGCAAGTCAAAAACATGAGATTTTCAATCCAGAAAAAAATGATAATTTTTGGTTTGAATAATGTCAAAATATGTACACTTCATAGGTAAATTTAATAGAGCAGTTATAATAATCCACTGTAGGTGAACCTTAATGACAGTTTAAAATCATTGACAGAGAGACAAATGTATTCATTCTTTATATTTATTTACATTATTAGGTTTATTATTAATTCATATTTCTTATTCCTCAACATCATTTGTTCTTCTTGAGCTTTATTATTTATTTTTGATTTTTTCAACTACTATTATTATTTACTTCAATTCATGTTCTATCTAAATTATCAATTACCGTTCACATTGAAGTGAGTTAAAACTTTAGCTAATGACTAGTTGTGCTAAAGCTTACTTCGTTTATGACCGTCTGATTGATTTAGATTTTCAACGATCCCGAAATTTTGCTGAAAAGCAGAAGTAAAATGCGAAGAAACGTCACTAAGGTGAATATATTAGAAACTGAATACATAAAAAACTGCTAAGTGTTTAACTCGATTCTGTTTTGTTAAATATAAAATATTCTTGTTAAACAAATAAATCGTACTTCTTAAACTTAATTTAACTAAACTAAATATGAACACATTTTTCGTTCTGTTTAAATTAAACACTCTATTACGCTGTCATTATTCGGTTTATTGTTCTATCCTATATTCCTCTATAAGTGTTTCGTAATGTTGATTATTAAGAACAAAAACTCGGGTAATAAAAATATGATATTGATAATTATTAGTTTTTTTTATGAGGAATATTTATATCATATTCCCTACTTTACCAACTGACTACTCCCCTACCAAGTGTTTGCAATTAAGTATTAATCAATAGTACCATGATGAGCCAAAAACGAAAGTGAGAACACTTAGTCATCAAGATCACTGCAAATTTATTTGTATGGAACTATCATGAGAAAAATAAAAACCATAATTTTTACTTTAACGATAAATGCTAGTTTATTATATTACATAAATAGTCAGTATTTTAGTATAAAAAATTGCTGAACAAATTTTCTTTAAAGATAGTGACGAAACTAATTACAACTGACCACTTTTTCTAGTTACTAATTTTGGTTAAAAATTATTTTTGTATTGACTAATCATCGAATATGAGGTAACATCACTCTTGTTTGCTAAGTAGTGCTGATTGAATCCTAGCAGTCAAGTTGCAGTTTAGTCATTGAATGACTGAATATATTGTTACACAAAGTTTTGATGTATTTTCGTGGTTTGAGACAAAACGTGAAAAGCTCTCCTTGGACTAGTTTTGTTCTGGTTGGTATTTATTATTAAGGTCTATTGAAAAAGCCGGTATGTCTTATGAGATTGGGAACCGGCTAATTCGGTATTCCGGTCAAATGTCACCACCAAGCTATCCAGTCAGTGACTAGTCTGTTGTAGAACTGAAATCAAATTAGAAATCTAATAACTTTGCCTGTCACTATCTTTATTTGTTCAATGGTAACAGTTATGTTGATGTTTATTCCCTTTCACTATTATTAATGTTACCATGACCTTAACTTCCTAACTGTTGATCTTCCCTAATTTGATCTTATTGTGTTGATAAGATATCGTGGATTGTTCCACTTCTATGCATTTCTGCCCTGTGATATGTTAATGATGACTAGCTCAACTTAATCAGTCGGTATTTATTTAAAATTTTGTTGACAGTAATATTACTTCATTCATTTGTTCAACTCGAAGCATTTACAAATAGTGAAAAACTCTGCTTAACATCAGTCTAGAATACATCCTTTCGCAACAAATATTTTACAAATACCAACTAAATTCATTAAATTAAAAAAAATTTCTTACTGTACAACATAGAAATTGTGATAAAGCAATCGGTAAACAGAATATAATATCCTGATTGAATCATAGGCATGTGTCGGTAGTAACTATTCACATGACTAACATTTAGATGAAAATAATTTTTAACCCTGTTACGTAAGAATGGTTTATGACAGTAATAGTATTCTTTTTCCGAAATTTAATTCCTTTATTTATTTTTGAATACATAATTTAGTTAGTCAAAGGTTAAAATATACCCTTTTAATTTATATAATCTTGAATTCGTTGAAATTTACTCATGTTAGCTATAAGTCACTACTTTGATTCAATTTCATGTGGAAATATCACAATAACTAATTACGTAATTGAAAATATTTAGATGAACTGATCGGTAGATATATTTTGATTGTTTTAAATAAATTAGCTAAAATGTCATATTATTTCTTGCTTTCAACGTATTCTATGACATAATAGACTTCATTATATGAATCCTGGTAATACATATATCAAAATCTATATATGATTTACAAATTTACCAAGAACTCTACATTCCACTATTTTGTTTGATTTTATTTCATTCATGATTTAGCTTTCATCTTCAGGCGTACCAATGGATTTTAAAAATATTCATGAAATAATTGACACAGCAATTAGAAAAGAACTTCAAGTTACTGCACACATCAATGAACTGCATAAATTAGCATCGCAAATGAATGATGCAATTGTGAGTTTTGATTATTTCATAGGATTTTATTAATTTTGATAAGATTTTTTGTTGACTATGCTTCTTTCACTTACAATTTTTCAATCTAATAGATTTTCAATTAATATTTTATTCATTCTATATCGAATGATCAACTGTTTATTTAAAAGTTGATAATTTTGCTTTAAAATACAAATAAATATCGATCATTGGAATTCAACTCAAAGGTTCCAAATGGCATCTTTTCTGTCACACTTAAAGTTAACAGTTTTGATGTTGAAAGATAAATTAAGGTACAAGTTATTAGAGTTCTTCTTTTTGATATCAATAATAACTGACATAGGGTTTCAATTCGGTAAATAAAAGTTATCTTTAACTATTTACATTCGTTATGTTATTTATATTAGATTTAATAAGAAAAGGTAAGACTGATTAGTCTCATTTTTTTTTACCTGGATGAGTTAGGAAGTCAAAAAAAACCCTTGAAATTCTACTGATAATCCTGATAATATTCTAAGAATGAGTAAAAGGCTATTGAAAATTAGTTTAGTAATCAGTAGTAAAAAAAATGAATCCAGACCGTGTATCCAGTTTCATTCGAGTTTTACGGATATCCAGATGAATGATGAAATTCTCACTGATATTCAAATCAGAACTAATCGATTTATACATTGAAGTACTATCGTTTCAAACTAATGAGTTATCAGTATAGTGGTTGTGGAGATTGTTAAGTTTTTGATTGAGATCATGAACCGATTGATGAATTACGTTAGCTATTCCTTTATCTAATGATATTGTATTTATTTGGATTTTTCTTATTTTTTCTAACGTAATCTGTTTACATAATCTTACTGACCAATTCCCTTTCCATCTGTCCTTTTAATTACTCATCACTGTTATTACAAATAACACCAAACATTTTCATTCAGCTATTTAATTCACAACTTAATCAATTCCTGCTTTTGATCTTACGCAACTACTTGTTAGAATTAACCGATTATGTAATGTCATCTTAAATTCTCACCAGCTAAGTTACTAACTGCTTAATGTCTTTAGGGAAAATATTGAGATAGATTGAATGATCAAACGCCATTTATTAAGTGACCTAATACTTAGTTGTGAAACCTATATATTATTGAAGAGCTATACCAAGAAACTAGTATTTCTCCGCTTAACACATATTTTCAATGTTACATTGGGAATATTAAAAACACTAACGTCGTCTATAATTGAATAACTAACTATTAATCAACTCACTAAGAAGAATTCGCTTTGAAAAGTTACCAAATATCTACAATTCATTAGTGTCTATTTACATTCGAATATCAGTCAATCATAAACAACTTCTAATTTGATATAAATACACAATAGAGCATGCTGCTAAATAAATTTAACATGAACTTTTCACCTGTTAAGTTTAATAAACTAAATAAACAAATATATACGATATTGAAAATATATTCCATTTATTGATTTTTAAACCATTAGACCCTAGTTGAACTTTAATATCTATTAAAACAAAAAGAAATCATTTGTGTTGTCGTTGACATTTTATGGATCATTTTTAATGATTTATATTTGGATTTGTTGAAATTCCTATTGAAAATGAAAGTGGTTTTAATCATCCTATGATAAGATGTATATAGTTTGATTTCTTCTCACCAATGTATAAGGTATTGTATCTTTTCTCTATTCAACAAAAGTTCATCATCATCATCATCATCATGACAAAATAAATTTTTTTAAAAACATTATTGTAAACAATTTTCTCAAAGTATACATTGCTAAACCACATTATATATGTATGGAACTCGAATGTGATGAGTCAGAATATACTAGAAGTACTCAATTTATTCTACACATTTGCTTAAGATAAATACAAGGGTGTTTTTTCTTAATAACTTTAAGATGAGCCTTATGATAAATTGAAAAATGGAGAGTAATAGAGGAAACTGCTACCTATTGATAAACACTAAATTTATGGTCTAGTTTGATGGTTAATTCATATACCAGTTCAAGAATTGATAGAAATAAGGAATACTGACTAGATTTTTCATCATGAAGTTAAGGAGATTTCAGTAATTTTTATGCACTCAATTGCATAAATAGTAAGTCTAAAAATATTCATCCCTGCTTAGTTTTGATCATATTGTCCTTGGAGTGATTAAGTCAAAGAATCTCTGTCTAATATTACCAAAAATCTAAGTAGTTCGTGGTATAATAACATTGCTTGTGTTTACTTATCTTTACTGTTAAGAATGACTGATCGCATAATGTCAATAAACCAGATCAGTTAAAGTAATTCACTGAAGTTTAAAATGATTTATTTCCTGTGTACAAATTGTTAAATAAATAATTAAATATTACTACAAATATTTTGTATATTTACATAGACACAAGATTTTTTGGACGATTTCCTACAAGAACAGGTGAATTCTGTTAGTAAACTAAGAGAAATGCGTGCTCGACTACATTTGGATAATAGTGCTGTTTACCTGATGGATAAAGAATTTCGTTGAACTGGTAATCTGGTATTCTTCTTCAAAATCTATTACTTAAAAATGATAATTATTTCCTGCAATTATATACAAATTGTAGACGAACATCATCCTTTTTTTATATGAAAAAGGTTACACTGATTTTACACATGCTTGATCTGTCTTTTTATTTGGATGTGTTGATAAGATATTATCTCAAGTGATTTGTTAATTTGATTTCCTTCATATTCTTAAACATTTAAATTCAAATAGTAATGATAAAAAGTGAATATTTATTTGACTAGTTTTAAAAAGATCATGAATATTGTATAAATATCTGATGTATTCTTAAAGGTAAGGAAGAAATCTGTAAGTAATTGACTTTTAGTATTTGTCAGTGAGATGATATTATGATCATTAAAGATAATATGATTTTAACTGTTAGGAGTTAATTGGAATAAAACTATAGAGCTCTATACTAGGACAACACAATTGTTTAGTGGATCCTCGTTTTTAACTAGCTGTTTAACTACAGCTATTTAGCAACTTAAATTGCAAACATTGTAAATTTAGGGTATTTTTTCCAGTAATATGACCATGGAGAAAACTACAAACAATAAGACATTGCAAATAACTCTTAGACAGATTAACTGAATTCTAAAACTACTCGTAATGTTGAAAATTACCGCCTTTAATTTGTAAACTTGAAAAGTAGATATAGAAATTTGACATTCACTTCTGACATGAGCCGTATTTTAGCACCCCAGGGTAACAGTGAATACGTTCATCACCCGTTTATCCATGAAGACGATGGATTCGGAGTCTTGTCTCACTAGTTGCTTCACTAATGCATTGGATCTTAATGAATAATTGTACTCATGCTGTTAATCTAAAAGTCTGATATGTTTACTAAACAAATTTTCGTTTGACTCAAAAAGTAGATAATTTTTTAATGGTATTTGTTCAACGTGCTTGAATAATTACTTGGGGTGTCAATGTACTACTTAATACTTACCCAAGTAGCTTAAATAAACTTTTCAATGTTACTGTAGATTTAATCACAAACGAATGTTAGAAATATTTGACAGCATCTCATTTCATTCAGTCCATACTTAACTATAAACGCCCACGACCTTCATACAAGATATTTACTATCTCCACTTTTGTTCAATTTTATCATGGACCTACTGAATTCTCTGGAATCGACCGCCTTCCAGGAGGCCCACTTATTAACTTAGAATGCACATATGAAATGGTTTTTTGGTAGCACTGAGCAATAATGCCAGGATATTTGAGATGCATTTCTCCCCATCCTAGATGTAAACAGTCTCTTCAGAAGTGGCTTGCTTCAACGCCTGAAATAAGGATAGGAAGCGAAGTAGTAGAACGCGTCAACAACTTCACTTTGAAGTCTGATCAGTCCTAATGAGTTGATATCTAATGAAATCTCTGCACCCATTCAAAAAGCTCATTTGGCTTTTGAAAAGCTACGTCACCTATAGCGAAGGTGAGATATCGGTCTATCAACTGAAAGGCAGCAATCCTTTCTGTTTTACTTTATGACTGCGAAACGTGGCCATTAGAAGTAGAGGATACTCGTAAGTTGCTAGTATTTGATCACAAATGTCTTAGAAATATTGCTCGCATCTGTTGGGATCACCGGGTAATTAATATTGAAGTTAGACGCAGGGTATTAGGGAATGACGGTAAATCAGTTGAGGTTGTGAATCTTCATCGACGTGTTACATATGCCTGAACACCGATTACCACGGCGCACATTGCTAGCTGTTGACGGGGACGGATGGAAGTTAGGGGCGGCCAAACCAAAACGTGGCATCAGTCCTTGAAGTCATTAACTCCTGATCTGAGCCTTGTTGGTAGATGCAATCTAATTGGTTGGAGTCTGCGTGACTATTGCAACAAATGGTTGGAGACTCTGGGTGATATGGCTCAGAAGCGATCACAATGGCATATGTGTATACACTCTTTGTCTTCCCTTAAACCGTGAGATTAGAATTACTTTATATCTTTATTTGTACGAACTAATTTTTTCTCCCTGTATCACATCTCTATATGAAATGTTTTTTTAACTACCATTAAAGTAACTACTTCTATGTATTTGGTGTTCATCTTGTTGTGCTAATGAGTTATGGCAACTTGGAACGATGCATATATATGCCTGGTCTTACGTTGTAGATGGCATGACTGACTGTTTATCCCTAGCTCTCTTCCAACCAGCAAAAATATTCAAAGCAAAAATAACAACGCCCTGTCGTATTTTTTATGTTTCTAAGATCAATATAAACCGAAAAAATATAATCCGACGCCTAGTGAAATAAAAAAGCATACTTAACACCAGATATAACAAATTACAATAAACTCATATATAGAACAAGAAAGAAACATATTAAAAATACAATTAGATGATTTACAAAAGTAACAAGAAGCATGTCAAATAGATACACATGATGAAGAAAGTTTCATGATTTATTAATGATATATTCAATTTACATTAAACAAGCGAAAAGGCATAAAGTGTTTGCATGTAAACAGATAGACATAGTAAAAAGATGAAAAATTAACAAGTCAATGTTGGAAAAAATATAAGTTAGATATTACTCATGATACTACCTAATGATTATGATATGAATTTTCAGTCAAATGCAAAGATATTTTTTCTCACTATAAATAGAAAGGATTCCAAAAGCAAAAAATCACTCTTTTTACAGGAATAATTCTAAAACATAATTGTCATTGTCACATTATTCGTCTTCCCATAGAGATTTCTGGGCCTGACGAATAGCTTCCGCACGAGCTGAAATATAAGAAGAAAAAAGTTAGTAGTTATCAAATAAAGTACACCTTAGAAAACATCATTACATATGATAAGAATATAGGTATATATGCACGAACCCTAGAATTAGTTAAACTGGTGTAATGATCAACTCTTGAAGGAATGAAACTATTGATTCATTCGACAAACGACTAAAAATAAAATAAATAATAACAGCAAGTCACGTGCAAGAAATAACGCTAATTATTTGTTAGATTATTGAACTTTAAAAGTTTCATTCACTACTTAATAAAACTATATGGAGAGTATTTTACATATTTATCTAACAAGTGAACGATTGAGATTTAATAATTAAATGCTGTCTTTCTTCACATGACTCCTAACTGGGATTTCCAAGTGAGATTAGATCAGAATGACTAACTAGTGATAAAACGTTGATAACTAACATTCTTTATTTCGTAATATACACGAAATAGTCAATAATATAAAAAACAAATGTTATATTCAACTTCCAAAGAGATATATATGAATATTGACCTTATAATCTTTTATTATTTGGTGTTAAATAATTATTAGCTTCTAACAACAAATAAAGCTCATGAACCTAAATTTGACCTATTTCTGGACTGATTATCAAGGGTAATCTACAAACCGTGAAGAAATTGGTGACTAGTTTTAAGTAACATTTTGCAATGTTCCTGCTGAAGCTATCATAGCCTTACATATGTCATAAAACTATTGAACCACCATAAAACTCAATTTAAACACATGAATACACCATTAAATATGCACTGATGAAAAATAAAAAGTAGATTTTCGAAATCCTATTTCCAAACCAACCGAAATAAAAATAAACAGTGACTAAAAAGACCAATTCACTTTTTCATGTATATCATAAACCAATCATTAACACAGGTTTATAACTAAATGTATTGAAAAGTGCTCAACTAAAGCTAATTATATCCTACTGAAAGTATACATGTACAAAATAATAAAAAAGGACGACGGAAAATGGGGATTCGATATCTTCCTTAAATTCAATAAACTTAAAGGCAAATAAGAATAGTTTAAAAATCTAAATAATCATTCCATACAGTTTTGATTGGAAGCATAGAATTTAGGCAATACATTTTTTCTTGCGGGCTTATTATTAATAAGGGGTAATTGATGTGGGCAAGTTGGTTCCTTCCTATGTCAACATAACTGATTTCGACATAAAAACTTTAAAAATGAAGAATATTTGAGCGAACAATTGTTTTCAATAACTTCATCATCAGGCTCTACAGTTATAAGTCCATAATTATAATATTTTACAAAGGCCAAAAATAAGGCATGGTTTAATGAGCTAGATTACGACTGCTTTACACAGCCGAAGCCATCTGGATCAACTCCAGAAGACCTAATTTATGCATCCAGAAGAAATATATCCAGCCTCTGTGTGTACCCTGGCCTACGACTAGATCACCAAATACCTAGACTGAATATTATAAACCTCTTACCCCTTCCTTCCTTCATTTTTATTCATTTTATTTATTTTCCTAATTATCATTATTTGTCATTATCTATATCTTAATCTTCATATCCATCATTCCCAATTTGTTGACCGTAATTACCTTGATAACACCCCCTTTATTACATATTATATTCACACAACAATATTATTATCTCAGTTGACAAAATTATTTTCAATTTTGCAATAGTACTATTACATTATCTTATTGTGACTGAACAGTTTACTGACCTTTATTGAATGACCTTTCTAATTTGCAAATATTACAATTTTTTGAAGTATATATATATATATAACAGATGCAAACGTTTACCATTTTTAACACATAACATTGTCAAACTCATTAAAACGCCTTATTTTTGGCCTTTGTAAAATATTATAATTATGGACTTATAACTGTAAAGCCTGATGATGAAGTTATTGAAAACAATTGTTCGCTCAAATATTCTTCATTTTTGAATATTCTATGGAGATTTTTAAACTGATAAAAACTTTAGTACATTTACTTGAATAATTGACAAATCTTAATCGAATTCCAAGCGGAAACAAAAGTAAGCATTCCAATTCATAATTGACTAATACCGTTTAACACAGAAATATAAGATTACTTGTAATGTTCTGAAAACTAGTAGTGTCATGAAAAGTAAACAAAAGAAACAATATGGAAGACACTTATATAATTTACCACGTGCTTCTCGTAAAAGAGCTTTATCTTGTTCCTCTTTCATAGCTTCCTCAGGAGATTTGATTTTAGTAGGAACAATACCCAAATGATTGGAAATTAATCTTCGAGCTGTTGAGCTAGTCGTAACTGGTCGTTTTTTATAGGGCATAGTCCAGTCGCCAGGTGAACGAGCAATCTTCAACTTGCTAGCCAAAGAAGCTTCATTAATTTTACGAGCCTAAAGATGAAATTAATTTGTTAAAATATTTGTAAAATTCATACTATTTGATATTTTGAATTAAGATTGAGTTCCATATTTTGAAATTATGAACAACCGAGAGTCTTCTAATAGGAACTGGGATCTATACCGTACGAATAATACACAACACGTCAACGATTACCCTCAGAGAGACTGCAATGGGTAAACGAAATCTTGTACAAAAGTTTTTCTTGGTAGATACTAGAGAATAATTTACGTCCCAGTTTACGTAAATTACACATCAAATATTTAAACATTATTAATTACAAGATTTATCAGATTGAGCAATCGCTGAATACAATAATGTACACTGAAAATTCAGTAATACCTAAAAGCCATCTACACTAAAAATGAAGATGTATTAAAAACAAAATAAACTAAATTTGTGCTGAATAGATCGATACTGATTGAAACACGTTGGAAGTTAGTGAACCGAGTTTACTTCAATTCATAAGTGAATCTTAAGAACGATTTCTTCTTAATTGTATTATCTGAGATAAACAATCCATTGTAATTAATTGTTGAATTGCACCAACTTTATTTACTCATAATTAGTATTAAAAATTCCAAAATATGATTCTATTATCGATTAGCAAAGCATGTGCAGTCTAACTAATAGAAAACTTACTTTCAAGATTTCTTTGTAGCTTTTATTATAATACCTAAACCACAATACGAAGAGATAAACTCAAACAAACTTTAATCAAAAAACATCTAAAAAATCGGTAGCTTTAAATACAAAAAAGGTAGTTAGTAAAGAAGAGTATACCTTCATAAAAAATCCTGATATTTGAGCCAATGCACGATTCGCTTCATCATTTGAAGAAAATACAGCTAAACAATGAGTATCATCGACCCATTTAAGGTAAAATCCACTATCTTCAAATCCTGTGAGTTCCGCTTCCAAGTGAAAATTTTGAAAGTCTTTTGAAAAGTTATATAACTCTAAAATATGTTGGAAATCTTTCAACCTTATGACTGGTTCACTGTTGCTATCATTATGTGACAGCTTTTGATTAAAAAGTTTTTTTTTGAGTACACATTCGTCATCATCAATACAGTTGTCAGAAAGTGTAAGTGATTTTAATTGTTGTTCTACATCAGTTTGTTCATTCACAGAAGCATATGATATTGGAGATTCTAAAAAGGATAACTCTTTTTTGACTTCGCCCGCATTTTTGTTTGCTCTCAAAGCTGGTGGAACGTACAATGCTTTGGGTGGTTTCTTTGATGACATATATAACTAACCAAATAATGAGATCTGTGAAGATAATACACAGAAAAAATAAACGCAAAACTGTTAAATTTAGCTAGCATAATTTAGATTTGGATACAATAATAATGATTACTAAGCAAATGTACTTAAAGCTTTTGGAAACTTAGTTTGCAACTAAGAATGGCGTTTTAAAAGAATGATATACGGAAGGTAACAAAATAAATACTAAACAAACTGTATTTAACTTATACTTGATTTAAGTAAGTAATTTATAAAAAAACAATCAATTTGAAGGGACAATTATCGATTAAACTGGATAGTGATCCAGTCATATTGTAAACTGAACGAGTTTCAAAGTGTGAACCATCAAACTTCAACTCAGTACGCTAAAAGTATTGCCTTTCCCACAAAACCTGAAGGTCTTAAGTTGGATCCGATATGCGATCACAAGTGAATACTGATGATAAGTTATAAACCCGAAACAAAATTCCCGGATTTGGCAAAGTAGACCAGTACATATTTGAAGCGGACCATACGATCTCCATAACTGACTACTGTTTTGTGATCTTCAGCTCAAAACATCTTTAACTTGGACGAATATTCACAAAGCACCTAGATAAATGTAAATCGGTAATGTAGAAATAAATGTGTGAAATAACATATCGCAAATAGAACAGAATATTCACCCGACCATAGCTGCTACCTTGACACGATGGTCGGGCCCACCTATCGTGATGACCTAAGCGAGCTATACTGGCTGGAACATATGTTCCTGTAAATTCTACCATGCCAGGCAGGTCGATTGGAGAACGGTAAGACTAAAGGCAGCAACTCAAAGTCTGAGGGCGAAGCCGTACTGCTGATTGTGGAGGGGTGTGACAGCAGTAAGGAGTTTTCCTCGGAAACCAGCATCTGCAACATCGCTACAGATGAAGGAAGGGGTTAGAAAAGGTTGACCTTAAAAATGTCACACCACCTTACCTCACGGATTTCCGTCCCCGGTGGTAAGGCCCTTTGAAGAACGGAGCTAACACGTCAAAAACCTCCCACAAAAAGGCCGTGCGCGACCGGCCTCAAACAGTTGTTCCTTGGGCTCAAGGGTCGCGCTCCCAGGTCGTCAAGATTAACACCTATCCGATTTCTTTTTCAGGTTCCTCAAGAAATACCCTTCTACGGTGTGGGCAGCCGGGAAGTGACACCAGCCCTCATACCCGTAACAGCACACGAGACCAAGTTGGTCACATTCAAATCCTTCCTACACCACTTAATACCACTCTTATCTCCCCGACTAACCCTTCTCACGTCCTTTTATCACCTAGCACCGCTAGGGCAAACGACTCAAGTACGCGGAACGTTATTCCTGGTCTCCCATAATCACTCTCTAAACTACACGTAGGAGCTTTTAACGTCCGAACACTGTGCAAATAGGACAACAGGCTTCCTTAGCTGGGACCTTAGAACCTCACGCCATCGATGTGTGCTGCGTCTCCAAAACGCGCATACAGGATCCGAGTAGCGTCATTCATTTGACCCCACCATATCAAAGTAAAGAACCAACTCCCCACTTCGTGTATCTGGAAGCCATGATGCTGCTTCTCGTGGCCTTGCCGGCGTAGGTATAGCTTTGAGTCCTAGGGCAGAACTAATTGTCTTAGACTGAATCTCAGTAGACAGTCGTTTGTGCGCTGTCCGACTAAACGGAACAATAAGGACTCGGAAAGATAGGGACACGTCGTTGCCTCTTCGTCGTTTCTGCCTATTCTCCCACTGACTGCAGCTCAGATGATGTAAAAGATGAGTTTTACAAAAAAGCTTTCCAACCTCCGAAAATCTAGGCGCTCTGATGTAATAGGTGGCTGGTAACTTTAATGCTAAGGGAAAGACTCCTGGGTGGATCTTATAGTGTCGTGACTGGAAGAACAGATAATAGCGACCGTCTGTTGCAGCTATGTTCAGATAATCACCTCTTTCTTGCAAATACTAACTTTAAGCATAAGGAAAAACATTTTTTGACATGGCGACCCCCTAATTCGTCTCAACGTTGGACCCGAATAGATCACATCGCTATCAGCCAGCAATGGAGCACATGCTTAGATTCACATCATGCTCTAGTACGAGTGCGTATCTGCCTGCGTCTTACTGGACGTAGGAAAGACGCTGCAAGGAAACCTCTTAGGGCCCTACTTAATGATAGTCACGCTAAGAGTATATTTGAGGGACAACTAGAAAAACAGTTAGGCAGCCATGTATGTGATACTCAACCCGAAGCAGCGTGGATGACATCCGAAAAGCTGTGGAAACAGCAGTGATATCTGCTAGTAAGGTAAACCACAAGGTTAGGGAGAAACACTGGATCTCAGCAGCATCTATCGCACTGATAGATGCTCGGAAACTCATTCCACCTGGCTCTGAACATAATGAAGAGCGGAGTCAGCTTAAGCGCAAGCTGACAAGAAGTCTACGCAACGATCGTGAACAGTGGTGGGTAGCGAAAGCAAGAGAGATGGAAAAGGCAGCAGCAATAAGTAACAGCAGACCATTGTTCAGACTTGTTAAGGAAACCGGTATTAGGAAACCGACTGTTAGCGAAACACTCTCAGAGAAAGATGGACATATTATACATTCTCAATCCAGGAGATTGGATCGATGGGCAGAACACTTCAGGGATCAGTTCAACTGGCCTTCAGCCACACTTCGGTTTCCCACGATCTCCAGTCAACCTGAATGGCAAGTTAATGTAGGTCCTCCGTCTATTTACGAAGTTGAAAAAGCCATAAGAAATCTGAAACGAGGGAAAGCAGCAGGCCCTGACAGATTTGCTCCTAAGATTTTTAATGATGGTGGTTCAGTATTAGCAGTGATATTAACTGAGGTTTTAGGTAGACTCTGGGAACTGGACGTAATCCCATCTGACTGGTCTCAATCACTGATTATTCCAGTTTATAAGGAAAGACAAACGCCTTCTTGCGACAATCACAGAGGAATCAGTTTGACTAATATAGTGTCTAAAATATTAGTTTCAATAATACTTCGACGCCTAACTAAAGCTCGTGAAGAGCAGACTAGAGAAAAACAGGCTGGTTTTTGACCTGCACGTGGTTGTATAGACCAGATATTGACAATACGTCAGGTTCTAGAACACAGACACACATTCAGACGCCCCACAATGGTAGTATTTCTCGACCTTAAGGCACCATTCGACTCTGTTGATCGTGAGGTTCTATGGCGGTGTTTTTCACTAAAAGGAGTACCAAAGAAGTACATTAACCTTGTAAAAGGCTCTCTACTCGAACATAACTGGTCAAATGAGAGCTTATGGCGAACTGTCATCAGAATTGATTACCTCAAGTGGTGTTCGTTAGGGCTATCCACTCTCTCCTTTCTTGTTTAACTTTGTCGTTGACCTGCTTTTAGAGACAACACTTTCCTCATTTAAATTTCCAGGGGTTGAAATTCTACCAGGAGATTCACTTTTTGACTTAGAATAAACCGATAACATAGTTCTATTTGGTGAAGACGCTGACAAAATGCAGAGTCTTCTGACCACTCTAAGCAACAATGCAAGCATGTTCGAGATGCGATTCTCCCCCTCGAAATGCAAAATGTTGCTTCAGGATTGGGTTGCATCGACACCCGCACTAATGATATGGAGTGAAGTAGTTGAGCGTGTCGACCGCTTCACTTATCTTGGAAGTCTCATCAACCCTTGTGGTCTGATGTGTGACGAAATCTCAGCACGGATACAGAAGGCTCGACTAGCTTTTGCCAACTTGCGTCATTTATGGCGTAGGCGAGATAACCGTCTATCAACCAAAGGACGGGTTTACTGCGCAGCAGTTCGTTCCGTCTTACTTTATGGCAGTGAAACATGGCCGGTAAAAGTAGAGGATATTTGTAGGTTACTAGTATTTGATCATAGGTGTCTTCGAAATATTGCTTGTATGTTCTGGGACCATCGAGTAAGTAACACAGTTGTTAGGAAACGGATACTAGGTAAGGATGGCAAATCAATTGATGAAGTAGTGAAATTTCAACAGTTGGGATGGCTGGGACATGTGTTACGTATGCCCAACCACCGACTGCCCCGACGAGCGATGTTTTATGGTGTAGGAATAGGTTGGGAGAAAGCTAGGAGCGAACAGACCAAAACATGGCACAAATCCATGAAGTCACTGACAAATGGACTGAGCCATATTGGTAGGTGTAGACTACCTGGTTGGGGACCGCGAGATGATAGCAACCGATGGTTAGAGATCCTGAATGACATGGCTCAAAATCGTTTGCAATGGCGCAGGTGCATCCACTCTTTTTGCTCTCCCAAATTCTAATCTTCTGAATTTGTCATTTCCCTTCCTTCTTTTTTCCAAATTTATTTCACTGTATTATACTCCTTGAATAGCATCTTCAAGCCCTAATCTTTCCGATTACTGCTTATACTCTTAGCACCTTTACCACTATGGGATTTGAACCGACAACTGCATTTCTGTACTAATGTAGTATGGCAACTCGAAGTGATGTACGTAAGTACGAAGTTCTACGTTGTTACTGACTGACTGATATGTTGACAACGCCATTATCTGAAACATTAAAGCTTTACTACTCAACATTAAAATATCCCAAGGAAAGTAGAAGAGTAATGGATAAGTGCAAGAATATCCAGAAAATAAAAATGCATAATATTTCACAGTGAAAGACGTAATACCGGTTGAATTAAACAAAACAAAATTAATCAAAACCATGAGCTGATTCAAAGTGCTATTGTAGAGTGGTGGCTTAATGGTTAAAGTACTTTACTTAGAACTGATGAGCCCCAGGTTTGAACACCACTTCAACTACCACATTTTGGGTAGTACAATAAACGTACAATCTCTGAGAATTAAGTACTCAAACCTGTACTTCATAAATCAATGACATAAATATAATAAGTTGCTACATTTCAAAATGGTGCAATTAAAAGAAACCAAGAGTAATCACAAAAGAAACCAGAAAGTGCGGTAACTTGAACACACACCATCCCTTCTACGTTCTAAGTTATTGTTATTCTTTTACTGGGGTTTCTTTATTTTATTCCTACTTGAAAATTCCATAAAATCAGATAGTAAGTCGTTTTATATTTGTCCGTAATCGAACCCAACATTACATACTTTAAGTAACAGTAGGGAAAGATACGCCTTACATTTTCGTCCAAAAAAATGTCAACAAAAGATACGTTTTCGTTTTTAATTTTTCTATAATTACAAGAGAAAGAAAGTAACAAAAAACCATTACTATTACATTTTCCCGACTTTCAACTTGTTAATTTCTTCATACAATTCTTCGCATTGGTAAATTTGAACCAAGCAAGAACAACAAGAGTAGCAAAGATGAGTTCATTTACTTCGTGGATTCTCGTCAGCAGCTTACAACCTATGGAGGACAGTGAAAATCATTAGTAACTAACGTACATTATTCTGTATTAGTGAAGGCTAGTAGAATAACGACAACAAGCATGGAGATATTATAAAGTGGTAAAAAGTTAATTGTTATTAAGTAACTTTGATAACGATATTAATTCTCTAACATGCCTTTGCGTTTTAAAATCTTTCTTTTAGGATTCTTACACCTAATGACACGCAAACATTCATCCACTTTACCATATTAAAATACTTCCATGCTTGTCGTTATTACCAGCCTAATGGTAGAAAAAAGTAAGTACCAAAACACACATCCGATTAGCACATATTTAATTGAATGATGGTAGGTACGGTAAGATGGCAAATATCCATTCCGGTCTTCATATTATTGTTGGCATTTCATCGATCACAGTTTTAGTCCTTAATTTACACTAAATGGGTGAGTTCAAATTAATTCTGCACCTTTAATTAAGAACATAGTAGCTGCGAAAAATACTTGGCGAGATTATAATTCATGGACGAACCAATAAGATTTAAGATAACAGGTATTGGATTTTGGAGCGAAATTTACTCACCCATTTGACCAAATAGCGTCTGGGAATTTTAGCTGATGTCAGTTCGTGATGAAAAATCGTAAGTCTAATTCCTAACCGTAACCATCAACTGTGAATCATAATTCTTATTCTTCAAACTGCTTTACAACCCTCACTTAGCCTTAGTAAGTAGGTAGATACTCTCGAAGTCACTTTGGCGTCGCTTAAAGGTCGTTCATAAATTATGTTTTCATCAAATGCTTTTTACGAGTACGCAGTCAGTAACCACTAAAAACCACCCCTCGCCTTTCTAAGCAATTAAAGAAATTGATAGGGGAAAAGCCTACAAGAACTCAAAGAATTCTAATGAAAACACAGAGAAATAACGTGTTTTTTTCAGGACAGGGTATATTGTGGAGGCCTCACAAGATCGCAAAGTTTCGGGCTAGCTTGTGAAATGGAACTACTTAGGATTACAATTGATATGATCTAGACCACATGATTGCTGGATAAATATACTATCAATTTTAAGACTTATTATAGCATTTATAATGAGGTCGATAATAACAAGTACATGAACCAACATCGGTAAATGGTAGGAAAACGCTTAACATCTGTATTTATATCCAAAATACCAGAAAATCATGGATTCTACAACTTGCGCTTAAATATACGATGGAAGCTTCCATCGTAAGTTGTTACTAGCAATAGAGGATGCAAACGAGAATTCACAAGCAATGGTGTTAATTTGTGCTCTCAGAATTTAGTAAATCGTAAAGAGCAGATCAACGATCTACTGATAAATTTAATTACAACAACCTCTCTGAGCACCATAGATGCTGATCGAATTGTGGATGGTTTCCGAGTTCTTGTACTAGACTTAACGATGAGCATCAGAAGTGTCCTGAGGACACAATTAGATACATCACCTTCAACACTAAAATCTAAGCATGTAGGCTGTGCTTCAGAGGCCCAGTAAGTCTCCTGTACAATCAAGTGAAGTTTTTTCAGATTTGATAGGTTGTATACAAGGTTGCAGAACATGTCTTCAGATATTACTGACTTTAGTACAAATGTAAAGTTGCTACAAGCGAAGTTCAGTGAACGCGAACATCCGCCTCAATTCGATTTCGGACTATCACGTCAGCAGTTCCCTTTGTCATCTGAAGAGGAACTTCAGAATCTGGACACTGGTTTGCAGCAGAAAGAAACCAAGGATAGATTTGTAAGTCAACGACATCAACATTTATAGGTTATTCGTATTACAGATAGCCATGGTACCGAGGTTAATGGATAATGATCCGAAAACCTCGATGCGATATGTTTTGTCGTACCTCATGACCCCTGAGGTTGCCAGTAATTTCATGTTACTTGGCATTTCTTCAAAACGAGCACTTCAGAAATGCCGGTTTTATGGTTGCATACGAAGTAACCTATATCTATTATTTAAACTTCAGGTGCCTTAACAAACCGCTTTCTGTCATCCATTGTAAACGAAAACGACCTTGCGAAGCTGTACGATATAGCGACACGGTTTTTCTCACAACGTCTGAGACAAATTGATAAAACGTAATAGGAGGAAATAAGAACAGGTATGTCCTAATTTAAAGTGATAAATTCCCTACCGCTATATAGTTACAGTCAACAGTGTTAACTAACATAACCGTAAGTGAAGCTTCAAGTTAAACCAAAACATGTCATTCAGATATCGTTGAAACTTATCTCATTCTGCACACTTCAGAATTCACAGAAAGACTATTTTGATTCTCAATAGCTGATCATGTGTGGCTAAAGGAAGTAATCCGCGAAATGTTTTTTATGTTCGACTTATTTTTTAACAAACATTATTTTGTACATGAGCTTACCTGTTTCTTCTTTTGCAGATCTTTTTGAATAACAATGAATTGGCATTTGCTATGAAAATGCATAGCGATTGATGCCCAAGCTTCTGCTATAATATTGTGCAATATTATAGCAGAAGCTTTTCGTCTTCAATAAATTTATTTAAACATAAACCTTTTTTCCATGGATTTCAGTTTTAGTGTGGTTTGTTGTGGAGATAAAGGCTACGGTTATGCTAATGGTGTTTTAAAAGTTGAGGCAAAAGTAAACAATTCGGCGGATATTTAGGCGAAAAGCAGACAATTCAGTAGATATTTAGACGAAAAGTAGACGATTTCGCCAACAGAGAGACAAAAGGAAGAAATCGGCATTATTTCCCCCGGACAGGCGAAAATGTAGACATTTTTCCCGTTTCCCCTTTATTTTTCAACGCATTTTCCCCTTTATTGGTTGCTTGGGATTGTCAGCTAGGTTTTCATTTTAAGTGTATTTAGGTTAGATCTTCGATGCACAATATATAAAAGCGTTTGGATTGGCAAGTAATAAACATCTGATATCAAAGAAAACTGAGGTGAGGACCATAATGGATAGTTTAGAGACATAGTAAACCTTAAAAAACCAACCTTCATTTGTAGCGTAAGGATACAGTGAGGCGCGACTGGGTTTTTTCTATTATTGCAGTGTTCAAAATTCGCTGCTGAAGCTTCATGGACTGGATTTACGACGAAAGTTTTGTCTCTGTCGGTATATATAACTATATATTTGATAAACTGGAGAAAGGTGGCTTTTTTTCTCCCTTCTTTCAAATAGAAGTCAGGAAACATTTGGAAAACCTAATCGTTAGATTAGGATTGTTTCTGCAGGAAAAAGCAAAATGCTGGCCAATTTACTCTTCAACGACCATTTGGGACCTCATAATATATGTAACGCGACTGTAACCTCTACTATAGTGAAGTCTGACTAGTGTATATAAACTAAGAATAAAAAACAACATAACATCGTAAAAGAAAACCCATTCTCCAAAAGAGTAGATGTGAAACCGAAAGATGATCATAATGACAGGTCATTCGTCCTTCATAGAGTCATGAGGTGTGAAACCGCAGAACCCAAAACCCGCTTTGAGCATGAAATTGGGTTGATTAAAGATCCACTTAACCAGATAATACCTCAAGGTATTTATAGGGTCACTTTATTGAAGCTTTACAGATCAAGTAGCCAAATAGGCCGTAGCGGTAAATAAATCCCCAGAAGAAATATCTCTGTAAGTCTTTGACATTGGATACCGACCATATTAGTTTTGATGGACTCAACTAGCTGATGACTATCGGTCATGCATCCACACCGGATGACGAGTGGAGATGCCGTGTTCAACATCCCCTGATATCGCTAACCAGTTTAGATCAGGGGATCCATGATATAGTGAAGGGCTATCAAAAATATCTTCGGACCACCTGGCTTCTGACTGTAGAGTTCATTGGGTGGGCACGATTCATAGTAGGTGTTACCGGTTAATGCGTTGTCAAACTCTCAAAACCTGTGACAACATCACTGGTGGGGAAGACGTGATCTGGTACACCAACTTGAAAACTGTGAGTCTGTTCCATTTTGTAATTTCATAAATTTCTGCTTTATTTTAATTCTTATATATTGCGAGTTTTTTCGAATTTCTGGATATTTTTCCTCATTCATTCTTGTTTTTCATACTTGCCATGACGGAACAGACACCTAAGTTACTTAAGTCAAAGACTATGTCTCTGTAGAATTTATGATCTACTATGATATTAGTACTGCTCTAATAATGGACCTAATCCTAAATTTGTAGATTTGTCATGATATGACTGCCTAATCTATAAGATCTTACGTGGAAGTCACACCATCGACTACACCAACTCACTGTATCGTATCAATTACCAATACATGATGTACAAGGTTAGGCTAGAGAAAGAACAATATATTTAATATGAAAAGAAGATATAAGGTAACATTCAGCAGAGACCACGCCTACATGGCCGAGCCATGCCGTTCGATCAACTCTAGTCTATTCAATTCATTATTCGCGCCTTCTCCATCGTTAGGTATTTCTTCGCGTTAAGTATTGAATACCTATTTTCCGAGTAATCTCGTATTCAGCTTTGAGGATAGTGTGGTTATGGTCCAATACCACTACACTACTCTCCCACCAGAATCAACGTGGTGTTGGTTCGATACCAAATTGGATGGCACTGTAGTGTGCCGAGGGTTACCAAGACTAGTAAGAATCCTCCGGGTGATGACAAGCTGAAAGATAAATCGAAAAGAAGACGGCAGCATCTGGTCGGGAAATACATGTAATAATTTTAAAATATTTGCCTTTATGCTTAACACGCTTACAATGAAAATTTGAGTGATTATTTGAGCTATAAAAAAAATGGGATTACAATAATAATAATAATAGTAATAATAAAACGATGCGTGTAATAGCCGTTGGTTGATTACTTAACGTATAGGTAGTAAGTATTTTGTGTTTAGAAATATTAAAGTTATGAATATTGTAGAAATGTTAATATTAGTACTACTTTTAGTCTAACTTATGAAATCAAATAACGATTATGCCGGTAAGTTGTCCATATGAGTCGATTTCCAATTGCATCTGTATTAGTAGGCTAACTGAAGGAACAAAAGTATTACCGTGGAGAAGAATTCCAACTAGTGTTCCAGTTAGTTTGATACGGTTTTAGTTACGGGGAGATTTTCTCAACCCCATGTTTACCTGACCGTGATAGAATTTAGTAATACTACTAATACACGTGAATGGTTATCAAAACAAAATTTAAATACGTGAGTGGTAATTATGTGAATTTTGGACAGATAGCTAGGAACAAATCGTTAAACATGAGTGTATTCTTAAGAGACAAGCTCTAGACTCAATGTTCTGATCTGCGGCAGACTATTTATTTATATCTATACTTGCCGGCTGATTGGGTATACAAGTTAGTTAAAAGTATGCAGTTTATCATAAGGCGGAACACGATTTAATTGAGATATAGTGGTCATACGTTATTGAAATTAGTTAAACCTATGTGTCATATTACTAAGTGATGTGGTGCTGCAAGGTGTATTTGTCTAAATAATTTTTTACAAGATGATTAATAGTGAGTGATGCTCATGTGATTATCAGGGAGAACATAAGTTGTAACCAAGGGGAGTGCACTCCCAACTCATGCCTATGATAATAGCTTGAACCTTAGTCAGTGTTGGGGTAAATTCGACATTGATGTTTTCAGTTTGCAGGATATTTGCTCGACTGCTTATACTGATTATTTGCATGCATGATTGTGTCGCTAAACCATCAATTAGACTGACAAAGTTTTGAGATATTTACTGAATGAGCAACTGATAGAGAAACATACTGTAATCATCTGTAGTGAATGAAGAAAAACAACACTAGTGATAATTATATGTCAATTTGCTGACCGATTTTGTTAATAGTTTCATTAATTTTATCAATCATATTACGTGATTGTCAAGTCATGACAATGCTTTATGAAGATATCCTGAAACTACTATGTTTAATTACTTATAGTGTTGATTGAAGATTGGCCAGTGGAAAAATAGGCATTGTTGTTTTAGGTGATTCAAAATTATCAGAAATTTATAACGTTAAAGAATCCGAGACGCCTAATTTAATTATAAATTTCAATTCAGAAATATTTGTTTAATGTTAATTCTAGTAGGCTACGGAGTTTTGATTTTAAAAGTTTGTTTAACCAACAACTACCTGAGGATTTAGTAATTTTACTAGTGCAGTTGATAGTACCTAAATTTTTAATCTTATTATCTAAATTATGTTTGCACTTTAGACTGCTAATATGATAAACCAATCCATAAATCCAAATACGATTACCAACAACGACTATGATGGGTTTATTAATAAATGTTAGAGGCGATCCAGATGATTTCTAAATTTAGAAGACATGGAGATATAGTGTAACGTATGTATGAACCAGGTTAACATGCAGGTTGTTGACGTATATGACGATTTAAAAATAATGAACATGACCAGACAAGTAATTTTAAAGTTTAGACTGCTTGTGAAACTTCAGGCAGGAATATGATGCGTTATAAGCATTCTATAAGAAGTTACTGCATTTAGCCTAAAGATACTTATAAATATGTGGCAAACGCAACTGGAAAACATATACATGTTAAGTACATAAAAAATCATCCAGTAAAATAGTTGAACTCGCCTGGATTATTTTTGAAAATTAGATTATTCAGTGGACGGCACATATAACGCCATTCGTGAGGAGTAATGATCCAAAAGTATCCACAATAAAACATGCAGTATGGCAATTAATTCCAGGGTGCTTGATGCTGTTGCCACTCGCTCAGATCAAAACAATCGAATGAATCCAGATAATTGTGTCAGCCATTGAACGAGCCATCTAAAATGACCTTATGATTGCAGGAAACTTATAGCTGGAACTCACCGTATTTTTGGAGAAGTGCCATCCTTGTTGTTTGGCAATGGAACTCGAGAATATGAAATTAGGCAGGCAGTGGTCGGAAGAAAAGATATTACAGGATAGTGCAGTTTAAAACAGGTTGAGGTGTTAAGTGAAGGCAGGCAGTGATCGGAAGAAAAGGATAGTGCATAGTTTAAAACAGGATGAGGTGTTAAGCGAAGAAACACTAAGAATTAGATCCAGATAACTATTCAATCCTTGATTGCATTGTTAGCCAATGTATATTTACGCTATTTACAGGTCATATTTGCTAGAGCTTGATGTTTAAACAAGTTTATGTCGCTGAAGCAGGTAAATGCTATTAAAGCTTGTTAACGAACCAACAAAGCTAATTAGTTGATATAGATGATCAACTTTTATTATCGATTGAGCTAGTAAGTTATGTGAACTAATAGATATAACATTACGATAATATATGTGACCATTAATCAAAGGACTATTAGAATACTGGGTTTACAAAAATAAAAACCGATTGAGAAGGTTAAGGTGGAAATAAGGATTAACAATAATAGGTTGCGTTTCTTTAGTTGGGCTCACCAATGTAGAATTTATGATCTACTATGATATTAGTACTGCTCTAATAATGGACCTAATCCTAAATTTGTAGATTTGTCATGATATGACTGCCTAATCTATAAGATCTTACGTGGAAGTCACACCATCGACTACACCAACTCACTGTATCGTATCAATTACCAATACATGATGTAGAACAAGGTTAGGCTAGAGAAAGAACAATATATTTAATATGAAAAGAAGATATAAGGTAACATTCAGCAGAGACCACGCCTACATGGCCGAGCCATGCCGTTCGATCAACTTTAGTCTATTCAATTCATTATTCGCGCCTTCTCCATCGTTAGGTATTTCTTCGCGTTAAGTATTGAATACCTATTTTCCGAGTAATCTCGTATTCAGCTTTGAGGATAGTGTGGTTATGGTCCAATACCACTACATCTCCACCTTCATTTCAACTAATGCCCTTTTTGCCAAATAACATCAAAGTTTGGTTTTGCTACGCAGAGGCGTGAATGACACACGTGCACAGTTCCTCTTAGTAGTAAAGGCAACACCGCACGAATTTAAGGGGTACGTCACACTTAGTGTGTTTACTAGTAATGTTTCGGAACCTTGAAAAACTCCAAAACGATCTATTCTTAGAAAGCGGA